ACTTTGATCGATCTGGTCATACTTCGATCGATCTCATCAGAATTCGATCGATCGAATCTCCTCAAGTTCGAAATAAAACAGAGTCCAGCTCATTAAAAGATGGTTTGTGGTGCAATCATTGAAGGGGCCCTAGTGCACGAGACATGACCATTGGGTGTGACACTTGAGCTACCTATATAAGGATTTTGAGCTATTTTATACATATACAATCTTAGACATTTACACAATCTTGGAGAGGAGGCTAGAGATTAGAGAGATACACACCATTTGGGAGTTCTTCCATTCATCTAGGTTTCCATCAAGGAGAAGAAGATCAATCCTACCATGGAGATAGCCCTTGAGGGTTGGATGACTACATCAATGAGTGGCTAAACATCTTCTTGGGGCTAGAGTTAGCCCTAAACATGCCTTATAGATCTTGATGTTTTGTATTTTGAGGGGATTTATGTTATAATTCTTGCCTTGACATTTGATTTATATATGAATCTTGTTTCTACAATGATTTGTGTTGTTTAATGCTTCCAATTGATCATTTCATTATATTCATATGTCTATGTATGCTAGAATAGATGTTCATGTATTTATCTCTTGGTTTTGTGATATTGATGCATGTCTATGTGTGTTGATGCTATGAATCTAGAGATTTTCAAGGCATGGTGCTTTAATGGAATATTCTTGTGGCTTGTTTGATTGTTCATACTCATTTCTTAATGGATTGTGCCTCTACCTTAGTTTAATTAGTTTAATTTGCATGTTCTTAGTTTAGTTGTATTGTAGTTGCCTTATTTTCTTAGATAGGAGGACAATCCATGCTTGTTGCTTGATATTCCATGCTTATGAATGTAAGTAGTATAATTCTTTAACTTATTAAAGCGTTTGATTGTAAGCTTAAAGGAAGGAATAATGGCTTAGTTTGATATATTGTGTTATTCATTAGATTGTCTAAACAATGTATGTTTAATTAGTCATCCATGCTTGTTGATTCAATCAATCACACATATTGCTGTTGCAACATATATTTCCCATCATTCATTACACATTAAGTATCTAAAAAGGTGATGTTTAGTGGTGACCTCTAAATCCCAAGATCCCTCTCTCTTATTCTTTACCCTTTACGAATTTATTTACATTGTAGTTTAATTTACCAATCAAACCACTTTTTGATATTAGCATTACCCCCAATCCCTTGGAACGATCCCTACTCACCCTAGCTATATTAGTAGGTAAAGGTAGTAGTGGCACTTTATAAATTCAAACTTGGCCACTCTATAGCACGTTTTAGCTTGTTGCCTATGACACACACCACCCCCCTTAGAGGCCCAACGTTCCCATCGGCACACTTTCGGCTGAGTCAGGCTCTGATACCATTTATAACGACCCATTCCACCACATGGTATGATATTGTCCGCTTTGGAACTGAGCCCGCACGGTTTTGTTTTTGGCGTTTTACCCCAAAAGGCCTCTTACCAATTGGAGTGACACACCTACATATAAGCACTTCACCTTTCCTTTACCCAGGTGATGTGGGACTGTGCACCCGTAGCTTGCCAGTGTGGTAACTTGACGGTGTCTCGCACCCGCTGAGCTTGATTATGAGAGCTTATGACCCAAGTGGGGGCATCAAGGCTTCTGAAGAAGTTGTGTTAGGAGTTGAGAGTGGACATCTCAGTTATCAACACAGGAGTTCACCTTTCCTTTACCCAGGCAATATAGGACTGTGCACCCATAGCTCGCCAGTGTGGTAACCTGACAGTGTCTCGTACCCGCCCACGGCATACCCGCCCACAGGGTCATCACAATCCACCCCCATTGGAGGCCCGACGTCCCCGTCGGCACACTTCCGACTGGGTCAGGCTCTGATACCATTTGTAACGACCCACTCTACCACATGGTATGATATTGTCCGCTTTGGGCCTGAGCCTGCACGGTTTTGCTCTTGGACTTAACTCCAAAAGGCCTCATACCAATTGGAGTGACACACCTACATATAAGCACTTCACCTTTCCTTTACCTAGGCGATGTGGTACTGTGCACCCATAGCTCGCCAGTGTGGTAGCATGATAATGTCTCGCACCCGTATACAGGGTCATCACACATCTGGTTCTTCGAAATTCGGGCCGTCACACTATACCAGACAGGACATCCGCTACACTATAGGGATAATAGTATATATCAGTTTAATCCCAGACTTGATAACTGGTCTGCTGTGAAAAATATAATAAAGTACCTTAGGAGAATCAATGATCTAATGTTCATTTATGGATGTGATGATATGGTCCTAATCAGGTATACTGATTCTAATTTTAAATCTGATGTAAATGCTATGAGGTCCATGACTTATTATATATTCACTCAATGAAAGGGAAATCAGTTTGCAGAGTGTTAAACAGATTTCGACTGTTGACTCAACCCTAAAGGTAAAGTGCATTGCAGCCTTAAAGGCAGCAAAGGAAGCCTTTTGGTTTGATCTCGCTGATTTAGAGGTTGTGGAGCACACTAGCTTGCCTATCAAGCTATATTGTGACAATAGTGCAGAAGTCGCCCAAACCAATGACCCAAGGGTCTATAGAGGAATAAGGTACATTGAGAGGAAGTATCATGTTTTACATGATATTGTTCGGTAAGAAAATGTACTCGTGGTTGAGAACATTGTATCAGAACACAACTTTATTGATCCATTAACAAAGGTGTCATCGATCAATAGTTTTAATCGTCACCTGGATAACATGGGAGTTAGATGCGATTCAAATTGGCTATGAGGGCAAGTGGGAGATTGTTGGGATTTGTATTCCTTAGCATAGCGAATTCCTATTTGAATTAAAGTGACATATATTCCTAACAAATCTAAAATATTTATACTTTATACAATTGGTTAATTCAATGTATTATATTTCCATTCATTATGGAATCGATAGTGTCCACTTGATCACAAGAGATATTTATATGTATGTGATGGCGATCAATACATGAACATAAATGTTAATCATAAATAGTTCATAGTCGGTAATTATGGATGGGCTCTTAATTAACTAAGACTTGAACTAGATTCGTGTTAGGTTAAAATATATTGCGAGAGCCGTCGTATGCAATTGATCCTTATCACTGTCATGGCATTTGACTTTTAAGCATAATCGAGAGAAGTATAGATTCTTTTATTAATTAGTAATTACTTTAATTTGTTTGGCGGATTCTTCGGAATCCAAAGACCGACACTTTGAGTAATTAAGTAATTAATAGTTAGAAGGTTATATTATCAACATTTGTATCATTGCTACTTGTATTTATTTTGTATTAATTATGGTTGATCACAAGGTAAATTCGAATGCATTTGTGTGTTTTAGACAAAATGATTTCTATATATTTATTTACTAAATTATTATTTTTGTCAAACAAATTTTTATTGTGATCAAACCGGATATAATCAAAGATACCAAAATAAATATATTATTTTAGTAGTCGGATTGATGGCTTTATTTATCCGATAACTAATTGTGCATGGAGGGGTCAAAATGCAACATTGACCTAGAGGTTATTTATTATTTAATTGAAGTTCAATTAATTTCTTTTAGTGGAGTAGAAATTGATTTATGAATTAATTAAATTAAGTCCATGGTATAATGGACCCGACCAATTATTAATTCATTGTAGCCAAGAAAACTATAAGCCCAAATAATTCTCACTCATGGGCCAACTTGATATTGGAGGCCCTTTAGATTTGAGATATCAAATGAATTTTAGAAATTGAGAAAAATATATTATCTTCAATTTTTATATTTATTTTGCTTATATATACATGGGGTCCATTTATATTTTAGGCTACGCCTTGGTGCATTAATTTTGGAAGACAAGAAAATGTTTTCTCTCTCTAAGATTTTAGGGTTAGTGTTCTCATCTAATGAAAGCTCCCACAAGCTTAGCTCTCTAAGGTCATTCATAGATGTTTATGAGTGATTCCTAAAAGGAAGATCACTACCAAGAAGATGGTAGACTAAGGAAGAGGTATAAAGCTAAGGGATCTAAAATAAGTGAGAACATTCACTTTATGGGAGATATTTAAAATTTACTCAAATCTTGATGTAAGTTTTCTATCTCTAATTGAATAGATCATCATGTTCTTTATACCAAACTTGTTTTTACACATGAATCAAGATCTTTATTTGAAAGCGCTATAAAAGTTTTTAAAACTTCTCTTTCCCTAACAGGAAGTGCACTTAACACCCTACATAATAGTACATATATATGATAAATGGCATTTTTGGAAGGATAAAAGGGCAAAACGGGCTTTCGCAAAATAATAATAATAATAATAATTTAAAAAAATAATTAAAAAAATAGAAATTTAAAGTGTGTTTTCGCACATTTTTGCAAAAATAAAAGGTGACAATTTTAAAAAGTAAGGAATAAAAGTGCTTGTATATTTTCAGGGTTTAATCGCACTTAATCCCTAATTTACTTGGAACTTCGTTGTTTGGGAATTATATTTTTACAAAAGAGAGCAACTTGGACCCACCGGGTCTTCCAAGTTGAAAATCCTGCAAGTTATGGTGACTTGAATACTTCATCCATAATAATTTTAATTTGCTCTAATTCGTAAAATAAAAAATAAAAAATTACTCTAATTCACCACATACAATGTACGGAGTTTCACATTATGCGTTTTTTTATTTTTCCTCTTTTATTTATTTTTCTCACAAATTAACCATAGTAAAAAAAACAAACCAATTAATAATGAAGAATGATATGACGCACTGTATGCAATGAATTTGAATAAAAAGATGCATGCAACCCGAGAAGATTTCACTTATGGATTCAATTCACAGTTTAGTGCTAAATGAGCTAAAATTAAATGTTAATTATGTAATTTTTTTTTTTTAAGAAAAAAATTCTGGTTTGAATTTCCAGTTGCATTTTTAAGTAAAATATCCCAATTTGCATTATTAAAATGCATACGATAGCAACATTATGACAATTATTAGTTATCACAAAGGGAAAAGTGGAGAGAGAAGAAAAATAAAAGCATGTTTATAGGCTGAATTTTAACATCTCAGCGGCTCAGAGTTTTCAAGTACTACAATTATGCAAAGCAAATATGACGATTACTTAAAAGCATTTAATCCTAAATAAGTATCCTCATCAGCTAAGTAAGAAGAACTTCATGTTAGGAACAGAGCATTTGGAGGAGATTTCACCATTCTCCTCCCCTACTTCTTCCTCTTCTTTGGGGGTTGGAGTGCTTCTTCCTCATCCTCCTCTTCCTCCTCTTCCTCTTCCTCCACAACTTCTTCCTCGTCCTCTTCCCCGCCATCATCTTCATCATCGTCGTCGTCTTCGTCATCGTCTTGGTCATCTCCGTCGTCGTCGTCGTCGTCGTCTTCGTCATCGTCTTCACCGTTTTCTTCTGCCCTGCCTGCCCCTCCTTCTGGAGCCTCCTTCTTTGGGTTGCTCTTCTTCTCGTTGGGGTTGTTTCCATTATCCCCTCCATCTTCTGATGACAAGTCCTCCTCACCTTCTTCATCCCCACCATCCCCATCATCGTCATCCTCACCACCGTCATCTTCATTGTGGCCATTTCCCTGTGCATCTAATGGCTCAGAGTGGCATTGGGTGGAATCGTCTCCTTCAATTCTAGGTTTGTTGGCAGGTAATGCAAAAGAATCCTGAAATCATTTTACCAGGGTGCATCACATGTATGGTCAAGCAAAGTACGGAGAATTTCATAGACGTTAACAAAATAAATAAATAAATAAAATTTAGCTTGAAGACAAACAGAAAAACCTACAGGCATTAATATAAACAGCACCAGATGTACTGCATAATTTCCCAAACATCAGGACTTTCAAACTAATAAACAATCGCATAAAGGTTTTTCCAAACAATAACACTAGGCGGCAATCATAGCGTGAGAAGCTTCGGTCACTTTGTGCAAAAACAATGTAAAAGGTTAAAATTACTCTTCACTTCCAACATTGCACAAGTAGGAACTAAGTAATATCCTTTTACTACTATGAAGTCTACGTTGCATTAGTTCTGGCTCACCAATATCATAAAGTAACCCTTTGAATTATGTTTTAAGTAACCCTATTGGATCTCTACTTCCAACTTTTAACATCAGAAAGTCTAGGTTCTAATACAATTCCATCAAGCAAAAGAAATCATGTTTGGAGAATGAGAAGCAGAAGAACTTTAACTTTTAATCATGATCAACATTTTGGCACTAGTCATTTTTTGTTACTTCACTGGAGCATCATCCGATCAATTTAGTCATTAGCTGATAACCGAAAAAAGCATTTACAAGCAGCAATTCGCAAAAAAATCCTACCATGTCCTTAAATAAAAATGGGTAAATTACTGGTTGTTCACTGAGATTAGTTGACAATGACAATTACAGCGGATCCCTTTTTCCCTCCGTTGACTACCCATTACTGGCATAGAAAGTTTTGCTGATGTCATGACATTTTTTAATTAACAACCATTTTACCTCGTCATTAAATACAAAATCAATTAGGAATGGAGATCTTAAATCTATATTATGCCCTTAAGGAAGAGTGTATAATGAAATAAAACTAAGTTAACTCGGTGTTTCGTCTTCTTTTCATAATTCAAATTCATCTAACCAAGTTAATTCAGTGAGCCACAACTCAACTCCTCAACCATTCCCTTCACCTACTAGTTTACCACTGCCATTTGTACGCTTTTCCTTTCTTAAGTCCAACCTCCACCACCACCAATGATCCAAACAACAAATCATTTTCCAACATAAACCACCTATGCCACCTAGTATCACCAGAACGACCATGATCATCACCAAACCATGACTAATTCAATGACTCATCATTGCCACCATTTGCACTCCACGAATACCAAGCTACAATCACCATGGAAAGGACCACACTATGTAGATTCAAGCATAAACTGGAAATGCAAACGCAGTTCTAAAACTCTTTTTTGTCTTTAAGATGGACATGTAGTTAATAACTTAATATGACAATTTATAGAGAGATTTTCGGAAACGGATAGTACAATATCTGGAAATATCCTTTTGAGATGTCAAGAAAAAAACAAAAAAAAGAACGATGAAGTTGCATTCTAGCCATGAGTCAGTTCACAAAACCGAAGTAACAGTAACCCAACATATAGCCAGTCGCATATAATAACAAACAATCATATGAAAACAGAAAACAAAATGTACTGTGGAGCACCACAGTACATTTTTTTTTTTTTTTTTATCTTGTTGGTACAAGTAAAATATCACCTCTCTCTGTGTGTTAAATACTATTTGTGCTATGTGCATGATCACAAATATGTTTGTCGGGTATAAGTATGGGTCTAAGCTTCAGCTTTTTTATCTTAAAGACAGGAACACAGGTACATATTCATAAGTTAATATCCTTTTCCATTTTAGAGTAAAATAGTGTTATTATGTATCATAAATTGTTCAAGACAGACACTTCACTTATTTTAAAACAATAATATATAAAAAGATATATATTAAGAGTTTCTAGTACAAATATATGATTAACTTGAATTACTGTTATAGTTTCAAGTACATGTCCAACAAATGTGTAAATGTATATTTCAATATACATATCCAAGTGTTGTGTACCTAACACAGATAGTTCACACATTTAGAGAAATCCATTTAACAGTCTGTGTGTACTTAGGAGCACTATGCAAATATACACCATCCCAATACTCCACAACTTCAACAATTTTGAAGGCTATAGCCAACATGTAGGTATAACTATACAGCTTAAGGCAAGCACGGATCTGTGAAGAAATTTTTTATTATTGTATTTTACACCCTTAAATTTATACTTTTTTACATTTATATCCATAAAATTTTAAAATTGCCCCTACTGAAATTATGAAAAAATCCCTCTATATAAATTTGCCCCCCTCTCATATGAATTCTTAGATCCGTCCCTGGCTTAAGGCTATCCACTGCAATTGCTATGGGTTAGTAGGTTTAGCCCAAAACCCTCACTGACCATGCTCTTCCATAAGCTATGTCATCATCACATAACCTAGAACGAATAGTTATCCGGTCGGGATCCAATCTGTTGATAGGTTTAGTTTCAACCTTACTTTAAAGGCAAGTGCATATCGTTATTGTCCGTTGGATCAAGAAAATGATTAATAAAAGATTCATTGTCGAATTTTCTAAGACGAGTCTAGCTCAAATACTCCCAATTTTTTAAAGTGTTGGATTATTTGGTTCTATGTAATAAACTTCTTGGTTTTATTGTTAAACTACAACATGATCACACATTCTATTAAGGGTGGCAAATGGGCGGGTTGAGTCAGGTTTGGGTTGGGTTAAAAATAGGCGGGTCAACATAGGTTAAGACCCATATTCAACCCGTTCAGAACGGTTTGAAAATGGGCGAGTTGAAAATGGAAAGGGTCAACCGTTATGACCGTGGACCCATTAATAATTATTTTTTATTTTAATTTATTTTAATTTTTTTTTTCAAAAGGTTTTAAAATTTTTTATTTTTAAAATTATTTTTTTAGAAGAAATTTCTAGAAAGAGAAACTTAGGGAGATGGGATTGATGAGAGACAAATTTAGAGAGAGAGGATTGTGAATGATAGAATTTTAGAGAGAGAAATGAGTTTTGTGCAATATAGAATAGATGTGTATTATGTATTTATTATGTGATGGGTGAAATATGGGTTGAATAAATCATATTCAACCCATCTTGACACTCAAATTAAGTAGTTAAAAATTACCCAACCCATCTTGACCTTCAAATTAAATATGGTTCACCCATAACTATTAAAAAGCGGTCGGATATGGACGGGCTGATAGTTTCTGACCCATTTTGCCACATCTACCTTCTACGCTTCCAAAGGTTGATGGTCGGATGTAAACTTTAACTATAAAAAACTTAGTATTAGGCCTGTAAGTATAAAGATCCTGGGCGGGAAAATATGTCATCTCTTTTTCCATTCCCATCCCCAGCCTTTGTGATCCAATAATCACATAATTTTTTAATAGATCTTAAAATAATAAAATAAAATAAATCTAGTATAAATTCTTAGAACACGAGGATAAAAGAGTAATTTCATTGCAAAACAACGACAAAGAGATAAAATATGCCATGGGCCCTGACAAGAAGATATGATACGTTTTCTCTTGGCAGATAAGAGAGATTTTCCCATTGACTTTGGACTTTACTTCCGTGACACGACCTAGAGGTATAATATGCCAAATGGACCCACACCCAATCAACCACAATTACATAAAGTTAAAAAAATAAAAACAAAACAATCGGAAATCAAAATATTCCCAAAATCACAATTAATATTTTATCCTTGTTGTGCTATTCGATGAACCGAGAAGATATGGAGTGAGCGGTCATATTAGGTCATTGGTATTGTTACCTGAGCACAATAAAATTCATTTTAACAGTTAGCTGAGAAAAAATTTCAATAATAAGTGGAACTAATTTTTGAGATGCATGATGGTGTTGTGGACAAATATCTTTTCATTTGACCGATCATAAAAAATAAAAATAATATATATAAAAAAAAAAAGCCAATCAAGTAATAAGGCTAAAATGAACTAATTTTTGAGATACATGATGGTGTTGTGGATAAATATCTTTTCATTTGACCGATCATAAAAAATAAAAATAAATATATATATATATATATATATATATATATATATATATAAGCCAATCAAGTAAAAAAGCTTAAACGCGCATTTTAGCAACACCAAAATAAAATAATTAAGGTACCGAGGGCAAGTTAGCATAGAATATAAGATAAAATCTTCGAAGGTTACACGACCCAGATGCGCATCAAAATACGTACAGGAGCGCACGTTAGCAAAGCCCGTGGGATTAAAATAGAAGAGAAAAATCTCCCAAAATAAATAAATAAATAAATAAATAAAAATAACTAATTGGAAGAACTTTACGCTTGCAAATCGGATAGACAGTTACCTGAGTTTTGACCAGAGCAGTCAATAACAGAGCGGCCAAAGCTTCAGCGGCGCACGTTAGAACACTCTGGTTAAGTGTAGCGACACTAACTGAACCACAGTTAGTCTCCATTTGTACGGGGCACGACTACCTGCAAACATACCAAGGCAACGTAATCACCGTTAGACCCACCTACTTTTCATCTCAGCCGTCGGATTTCAAACCAAACACGCCAAAAAAGAGTGAATTAAAGAGAAACTCCAAACAGTAAAAAGAAACTGTACAGAGAACAGAGAGAGTTTGAAAATAAGGGGAAAAAATAAATCGGAGGAGAAGAAGACAAAAGACTACTTTCCTGTCGAGAATAGACCGACAAAAGTGAATTTTCCCGGAAAATTGAAGAATATAACAGAAGTTTTCCCGGAAAATGGGTCAGAACACGTCGGAATTGTGAAATTCAAACGAATCGTGCAGAGATAAAGCAGAAGACAACTGAAAATTCGGAAATCATGAGAAAAATATAGAACCATCTGTGAATCACCAGAAGAAATTTAAAAAAACTTTGATTGAACTGGAATTGTGACGAATCAAGAAATTATATGATAATAAAATCGATTTTTTTAAAAAAATTGAGCTAATCAGAGACGGAAAACATACCAGAGACCGAGATCCGAGGGCGTCAGAAGCAGATCCAAGGGTTTCAGGGACTAAAACAGTAGAAAACAGAGATCAGAGGCAACGTGCAATGTGGACCGTCCGATCGTGATCGTAGAGACTCAACTGAGACAGAGAGTGATAAATATAATCAGAGAGAGAAAGAGAAAGAGAGAGTGGAGCTCGCGAGAGAGCGTGTCATTGTTTGGTGATACTGTGAGACTTGCCCGTGATTTTTCCAGAGGGTAACGGGCAGGTCGGGCAGCGTCCGGAGCAAGAGAAAAGTGAGAAATTTCGTGGCACTTGATGCTGCCCGGAGAACAAGTGTGGAGTTGAATAAGGTTCAGACAAGTGGGATTTAATTAGGTTTGAAGTAATGCTATTATGAGGTCGGACTCAAGATGGTTATCATGAGTTCTATGTTAAATTAGTATAATTTGAATAAATAAAAATTTTAGTACACTAATTAAATCATCAAAAAATAATTTTTTAAAAATTTATTTAAATTACCGTAAAATACTCTAAAATAAGTTTTTTGTTCCCTAGGTACCACACACCATGCTGACACTTTTAAAAATAAAATTATACAAATGATATTTAATTCAGTCAAATAAAGTAAAAATATATATATATAAGTTTTATTAATTTTAAAATTAAATTTAAATATGTAAATCTTGTATATTTCTCTTTTAATTCTCAATATTTTTTTTTTCATTGGCATACACGTCATCACTCACACCTCATTTTGTCCATTTGAAACTCAAATCAAAATCATCCACTTTGAGAAGAAGAAGTAAATACTACAAAATAATAATATTTCCATGGGCAAAGTGTAATAACCCCCTCCACTATTCGCATTTTGCAATAAATCCCCCTTAACTAATTTTTTGACCAAAAAAAACCCTTCCAACTATCCAAGGGATAGCATAGTGGATGGAAAATATTTTTTAGACAAAAATGCCCCTATTCCTATTATATAAGTGAAATGTTTATACGTAGGTGTGTCACTCCAATTGGTATGAGACCTTTTAGGGTAAAGTCCAAGAACAAAACCGTGCAGGCTCAGACCTAAAGTAGACAATATCATACCATGTAGTGGAATGGGTCGTTACAAATGGTATCAGAGACTAACCCAACCGGAAGTGTGCCGACGGGGACATCGGGCCTCCAAGGGGGGGGTGGATTGTGATGACCATGCGGGAGGGTGCGAGACACTGACAGGCTATTATACTGGCGAGGTACGGGTGCACAATCCTACATCGCCTGGGAAAGGGAAATGTGAAGTGTTTATATGTAGGTGTGTCACTCCAATTGGTATTAGGCTTTTTGGGATAAAACTCAAGAACAAAATCGTGCAGGCTCAGGCCCAAAGCGGACAATATCATATCATATGATGGAGTGGGTCGTTACAAAAGAAAATTACACAAAACCACCACTACTATGAATTTTTGGCAAAAAACCTTCTTGAACAAAAAAGTGGACATAAAACCCCCTTAACTATCCAATTTTGTAGCAAATGATGTTATAATGACTAAAGTGACCCTTAATATAAATTTAATAAAATAGTTGTGATACTCTTTGGATCCGAGACACGGGTTGATCAGGCCCAGGCCCAAACCTAAGGGATATCAGACAATTAAAATTTCAATAAACACGAAATACAAAGTGAATAAGAAAAATATAATATGTTGAAAGGAACTAGGAATAAAAATCCTTATATAAAAGTATTATACTCCGATAATCCAAAACTCCATAAGTTTACAACTCGGGAATCCATCTCTAGTAGACCCCTAATAAAAATCCCAAACTGCATGAAAGTAAATAACTAAAGATAAAATCCAAATCTAACATCTGGGAAGAAATCCTACGTCATCGGTAGAATGGAAGATCGTCTCTGCTCGGCCCGAACAAGCCCTAAGACTGGAAACGTCCGATACCTGAAAAATGATAAGTGGGTCAGACCTACTAGCAAGTTCTATACTACTACAATTCAAGTAGAGACCCGATACGCATGTACATCCTAACCAATCCAACAATAACTAAACAGTCCGTAGATATATAACTATATATATATATATATATATATATATTCACACTACAGGACTCTCACTAGACTACAGGCCCGTCTCAACCTGACTAGTAGGCACCATGCAATACGCACCTGGGGTGGGTATGACTACCTAGACCTAGCAGGGTACACATCCAACCATCATAGCCAGTTATGCATCCCAATGCATATACGCTCCCTAACCAACGACTCTGAGACTCAGGCTCATGTCGTGGCACTATAAAAATATATTTAAATTCCAATCCAAACCAAAGTGTCACTCAGCTATTTAGTGATCTAACACAAAATACAAGTAGGACTTAACTTTTGTAGTTAATCCATCCCTTGATCCAAAGTAGGTAGGACTTAGCGTTTTTGAGCTAATCCCCCTAGTATGTCACCGTCCCATACCTGTGCATACAAACCATTCATCCAGTGTTGATAATACAAATGATGAAACAAAAATCAATATCAACCAATCCATAACAAGTATAACACCATCCATCCAATTGTTAATAATACAGGTGATACTATAAATATCAATATCCACATATCCATAACAAGTACAGCAAGAATGTATAAATAGCATGCTTGTCATATATGAGCAATACATGATTCTCTAACAGTTTAAGAACGTAGATAATAAGTTTAATGCATCCTTTAGTCCCCTATCAGCATATTAATATCAATATCAAAATTAACATGCTCTTTTAAAATACTCCATATCATCCGGTAAGTTGATAATACATAATAACTTGTAAACATCAACTAATTTCCTGTTAAGCATAACCGACATTATATAAATTGAGATGCTTAATCCTATACCACTGTCATATGATTTAAACATAAAATTCCTAATTCAATTGCTAATTTTAAAACAAGCAACTTGAATTATCCGCATCACAGTAATATTGATCTCTTTCCTAAGAGTTTCCGGCTGTTCCCTATTTTAGCTTCTTATGGAAGATTATGAATTACCAGGCCTTCTGAAAATTTAATACAGGTTTAGACCTTACTAAATACCTTTAGAAACACTCTGTTTTCAGCCTAGAACGTAAAGAATTCAATCCTCGTAGCCCAGGTCTCGCAGAAAATTAAAACTGGAAACAAAATCAAAGGAGCCGGCTCCACACAAGGTGGAGCCGCCTCCACAACAAGGTAGAGCCTGCTCCCCCCATGGTGGAGCCGCCTCTAGGCCCTAAAGAGCTGGCTTTACTTAAGGTAGAGCCTGCTCCTCTTTTTGGTGAGCCTGCTCTTTTTGAAATAAAGCAGGCTCCTCCCCCTGTGCGTCGTCTTCTCCAATTCCGGCGGTGTCCGACAACTTTGTTCCTCCAACCAAGTTTATTACTGATTAAAACTTAAGTCCTAGGGTGTTCCAAAGTTAATTAAATTCATTACTTATTAATCAAAATCCATTGGAATAAAACAGATTTAAAACAAGCACAATACTTAAACGGAAACACATACTGTTTTTAACAAGTTTCATGCAACCAAGTAAATTAATTTAGCTTTTACTCATCCTGGGATTGTGTTAGAGATGCAAAGAACACATGCCAAAGAGATAGAGTTAGTTATAAAACTTGCCTGTGAGACTCGATTCAGAAATCTTAGCGTCTTTCTCCTAAGCTTTCCCGGTGATCCTTCGGTTTTCCCTCTCTGTTCTCTCCCAGCTCTGTATGCCGTGAATAGGGTTCTTAAACCCTAAACCGAACGTAATACCTATATTTATAGGTTTACACCAAAACCCTAGTTTAACTAAACCCTAAACTAATCCTTAGTCGGCCTATAGAAAACCTAATTAATGTTTACTTATGTCCACTACATACGTGACATCTAAAAACCTAATTTAACCAAAAACACATTTAATCTTAATTAAATATAGTAACCATGCAACTAAAATAATTGGCAATTAAAATAAAACACTTAATAAAATAGGTCATTAAATAATAAAATCCAATCAATAAACAATTAAATAAAACAATTAAAATAAAATAATTTATGACAAAACAACTAAACAAAATAAGTCACTAAACAATTCACACTTAAATTAGAACAAATTCACTTAAATAAATAAAACGCAGTTTAAACAAGTAAATAAATTCCAGAACTATCCCTATTAAATTCGGGGTATTACATTCTTCCCCCCTAACAATAGGAATTCCGTCCTCGGAATTCGCTCTTACCTTCTTCCCATAATTCAGGAAACTGCGAGCGAATGACATCCTCCTGTTCCTAAGTAGACTCAACCTCATTGTGCTGACTCCACTAAACATGAACCAAATGAATAACCTTAGTACGAAGGATTTGATCCCGATGGTCGACAATACGACACGGCGGCTCCAAATAAGTTGCATTCGGCTGCAACTCAATCTCCCCCAACATTGATATGCTGATACCGATCTTCATCTTGCAGAAATTTTCGCAACATGGAAACATGGAATATGTTGTGTATGCGATCCAAATTATCCAGAAGTGCCAACCGATAAGCGACAGCTCCAACTCGATCCGTAATCATGAATGGACCGACAAACCATGGTGACAACTTCCCTCTCTTCCCAAAGCGCATGACACCCTTTATAGGCGACACTTTGAGTAGAACCTGATCCCCAACCTGAAATTCCAAAGCTTGTGTGCGACGATCCGCATAACTCTTCTGCCTACTCTGAGCAGTGCGCATGTGATCTCGAATAAGAGCTATCTTCTCAGAAGTATCCTTGATGAACTCAGGACCCAAGAATCTGCTCTCCCCAACCTCCATCTAACAAACAGGCGATCAACACGGTCGGCCATATAACGCCTCAAATGGTGCCATTCCAATAGTTTTCTGAAAACTATTGTTATAAGCAAACTCCACAAGTGGTAAGTAATCCTCCCAGTGGCCCTTGAAATCAAGAACACACGACCTAAGCATATCCTCCATGATCTGATTCACCTTCTCAGTCTGTCCGTCAGTCTGAGGATGATTAGCAGTACTAAGGTGTAATTCTATACCCAAAGCCTGCTGACAACTTTTCCAAAAGCCTGATACAAAGCTCGAATCCCTGTCCGATATAATAGACAATGGAATGCCATGCAACTTCACAATCTCGGTAATGTAAAGTCTCGCCAATTGTTCCGAAGTGCAGTCAGTGCGAATAGGCAAGAAATGAGCTGATTTCGTGAATCTGTCCACGATAACCCAAATAGAGTTGTGATCCTTGAAAGAGTTTGGCAATCCCTCCACAAAATCCATAGAAATGCTCTCCCATTTCCACTCCGGTATCGGCAGTGGCTGTAGAGCTC